GGGCATAAGAAATTACAAAAGTATTAATTTGGGGAACTAATACATGTCCATGAAATCTTCACAATTTATGTTCTTCCGCCATGGCTTCAGCCGGTCCCTCTGTTCGGGGTCCCAGACTTCCCACAACAACTTGCTAATATTTATTTGAGTATTTGTGTCTATATTCATGAGACATTCATAGGTAGTTTTGTTTGCTTATGTTGTCTTTTCTTGATTTTGGTGTCAAAATAATACTAGCTTATGTAATAAATTTGGAATTGTTCACTTCTCTTGTAGTTTTTGATGGAAGGGTATTAATTCTTTTTAAAATGTTTAGTAAAATTTACCAGTGAAATCACAGGATCCTGGGCTTTCCTTTATAAAAGTTTTTAAAATTCCTCATTTAATCTCTTATTATAGATCTATTCAGATTTTGTATTTCTTTTTGTTTTTGTATTTCTTCTTCAGTCAGTTTTAGTAGTATTTTCATAAAAATTTGACCATTTCATATGTTATCTAATTTATTTGGATATAATTTTATAGTGTCCCTTATAATTTCTTTAATTCTGTAAATTTGGTAATTATGCTGCCTCTTTCATTCCTGATTTTAGTGATTTCTTCTTGTAATTTTTGTCATTCAATATAGCTAAAGGTTTTTCAAATTTGATCTTTGCAAGAATGAACTTTGGGTTTTGTTGATTTACTGTAATGTGTTTCTACCCTCTATTATTTTCGCTCTAGTCTTTATTATTTCCTTTCTACAAGTTGTTTCCAGTTAGTTTGCTCTTCTTTTTCCAGTTTATTATGGTGGAAGATTGGATTATTGAGCCCTATAGAGTCACAATCAAATTCTAACAGATGTACAAAGAAGTGTTTATGTCACTGAAGAGCTAATAAATATCAAAGAGCTAATCCTACTGAAACTATTCCTAAAACATAAGGAGGATTCCTCCCTAACTGATTCTTTGCAAAATGTCAACCACGAACCTGCCTTATGACCTATCCCTTCCATTCCATTCCCATCCCTTCCATACATACAAAGAGAAATAAAAACATCTGTCCACACAAAAATTTGTAAAATGAATTTTCCTAGCAGTGTTACCTATAATAGTCAAAAGGTACAAACAACCCAAATGTCCAACAACTGAGGAATGAATAAATGTGCAAATAAAGAGTTCTATTCACCAGACTAGTATAGTGGATCCTCTTAAGCAAAGGAGTTCTGGAATTAAATTACCTGGTTTTAAATTTTGGCCCTGCCACTCTTTACTCAAGTTAATTAATCTTGTGTTTCTGTAACTCTATCCTGTGAATAATAGAGCATATCTCATAGAGAAATTTAATGATGAAATAGCACATATAAACATTTAAACCAGTGCATGTCACTTAATAAATACTAACTACATATTGGCTATTATTATTGGTCTTCCTACTCTCACTTACTCATTTCTGGCTCGAAGTATAAAACATAAATTTCCTCTAACACTTTCTGCCATTCAAGGACATGCTAAAGAGGGGCTTTATTCCTGGCATGACCCTGCTTCAACTGGTCCTATCTTAGGGAAGTGAAAAGCAGAGAGGAGGGGTCTATATAATTGGAGAGAGCATGTTATTCATGGTACCGTGTTGTCCGAGGTTGACTCTTCCTCTCTTTTGCAGTTTGTCTCAAAGATTGGTCAGAAGAGTCAGGGTTGTGCTTGTTTTTGCTCTCATGGACTAATTTAGATATAAGACTATGTAGAGGCAGGCCAGGAGGCCCTCCTCTTCCTCTTGTAATCTCTGTTCTAATCATAATGGAGTTTGTGAGGTGGGTTATGTTTACATTTTATTGAGTAGGTATAATCAAACCTATATGTAGACTTTAGCATCCCCTGAACAGAATACAAAATTTAGATTTGGAACAAAGGAATAACATAAAATAGCAAGCCTTATTTTTGGTCTTAAACTGAATCCATACCCTCAAATTTTGCTGAACTTGAGAGAATTGTCCCCCTCTGGGGTTAATTTTAAAGTCATTATAATAAAGTCCATAATATGATCATCCAGCAAATTGTTCCAGCAAAAAGAAGAGGTAATTTTTATTTCAAACATTAGAAGACCAAAGTAGAAGATATTAAGTCTTCCTCAAAATTTATCTTTCAGATAAAGGAAGGTGCCACAAGGAATATTATGTGGAGATTACTTCAGAACACTACAAGCAGTCCCTAATCAAGAGAGGTAAGAGCTAAAGGTAACAGGAACCCTAAGAGGTCTATGGGACTGCAAATGTCCTTTCTTGATAGAAGGCCCAACAATTAGCTCAGTTGTCTGTGTTAAATGTCTGGTAGTTTGTCATTGATACCTTCTGTTACATACCCTCTATGCTTCATCAATCATATTCTAATCCTACACAACCATTTTTTAACTCTGTATTTCTCCCATCTCCTCAAGCCAAGCCATCATCCTATTTTTATCAGGACTTACAGCCTCTGAATGTTCCCCAGTGTGCATTTGTGACCTTGGATGTTAAACCCACCTCTGACTTTGTAGCCAAATGATCAAATGCAAAAACAACTGTGTCACCCTCCCCTTTAAAGTCCTTTCTTTGCATTTCACCACCTTTAGTATAAAGATAAAAATTTAATGTTATTGATAACAAAAACTCTGCTACTTCAACCCATATCTATTATCATAGCCTTATCTTGAATTTATCCTTTTTATTTTTTAAAGCCCCAAGTATATTTTACTTATTTAAGTTGTTCTAAGGAAATTTCACTCATATATTGAGACATTTGCATATATTGAGCCCATTTGCAGGAATATTCCACCCCCCCTGCTATGACCACCTTACAAGAACAGCAACAAACCCACTACAGCATCTAATCCGCTCACACACTAACAGTTTTGCGTAGTCTCTTGTCTTCTTTCAGACACCATTTCCCCACATTGCCCATTTCCCGCATGTGTATTACTCAACCTCTGGTGGTAGCTAAGGGTTTAAGAAATTTGTTACTTTCCTTTTACACCACATAAACCAAAGTTATTTTGAAAGAAATTAAAGATAATTCTTCTTAGTCCATCTAAATGTGTACCACCTTCTTCTTCTTCTCCTTCTCCTTCTTCTTTTTGAGACAGTCTCGCTCTATTGCCCAGGCTGGAGCTCAATGGCATGATCTCGGCTCACTGAAAGCTCCACCTCCTGGGTTCACACCATTCTCCTGCCTCAGCCTCCCAAGTAGCTGGGACTACAGGCACCTGCCACCATGCCCAGCTAATTTTTTTTTTTTTTTTTGTATTTTTAGTAGAGATGGGGTTTCACTGTATTCAGGATGGTCTTGATCTTCTGACCTAGTGATCCACCCACCTCAACCTCCCAAAGCGCTGGGATTACAGGTGTGAGCCACCGCGCCCAGCCTCTTCTTCTTTAATGTAAGGGAAACTCTGCCTCAATATCTCAGGCACACCTTCAGACTGAGAATTTAGGACATGTTGGGTCTGTCTTATCAAACACACCTGGTGGTTCTCTCTCTGTGTTTAGTGCCTCTCTGTTAAGACTGTAAGCTTCCCGAGGGCCGAGTCATTATATCACATTAAGGCTTATAACTGACTCTTATGCTTTTCCATAATTCTTTGGTAACATAGGTCAGGTTCTGGTCATTCAAGGCTGGTGCTCTGTCTTTGTAAGACATTCTTGACATAAATTTATATAACTGCCTCCTATCTTTACACCACAGAAATCCATGTGTTAATTATCTAGGGTAGATAAGGTCCCCAAGGAAAGAAACACGTATTTACAAGGCTCCACTTCTCTACAATCAAAATATATATTTTTTTAACTGCAGAGAATATTGGATGCATATGAGGGAGGGACATTTCTTTTGGGTTGGAGAAGAATCTAAACCTTGGTTTTGTCACATCACCTATATGCATCAGGCTCTTGACAACTACAATGTCTTCCCCACACCCCGCCCCCCGCCCATAAAGAGGGGAGGGAACCTAGACCACCTTTCCCTCTTTGATTGGCCCCAGTCTCTTTGTGGATCAGCAGCACCACCAGTCTCTTGTTTCCTCATTTTTATGTCACCATCCCCCCCGCCCCACCCCACCCCACCCCCCGCCACAATCACAAGGAGAGAGCATGAGGAGAGTGGTACACATGGTCACCCCCTTTTTCTTGGCAAAGTTATCAAATAGACTAGAAACCCAAAATGAGGCCTGAATCTGGATAGTTTTTAGGAGGATGATGGGGATGCAGAAGTGGTGGCATGGGAAGTGGAAAGGCCTGGACTAGGAACCAAGAATTCTGGGTTTTTTGCTCTCAGCCCTTTTATTAACTTGTGTGATTCTGGGTACATTATTCCCCTTTTCTGAGTTTCATTTACTTCATCTGGGGAAGGATTACAATGACCACGACTCTTACAAGCTTCTTTCTTATCCTAAGAATGCTAAAAGTCTACAAGGCATTTTTCATTAGATTTTATCATGAGCAGCTTCCGTTTACTGCCTGGGTGCCCATGAATAGTGCCAAAGACCACTGGAGAACTAGGGCAGGCCACAGCCCATCTAAATATGCAAGACCCTGCCTGTGCCCTACTCCATGTACACCAAATTCTGCACATGGTAGATCTTTTCCTAAATCTCGAATTATAAAAATAACCAGTCAGAGACAAAGCATAAAGACCATGGAAGAAGGACATTAACAGCAGATGAGGTAATCAATCAAAAGTTTAAAATATTGCTTACAGTGTTTTGGTATCCTGAGAACTTAAGGGACAAAAGTAACTTAAAAAAATCTCATCCAGCTCCAGTGTCAGCCTTGAGGAGGCTTTTCTAACTCCCATCAACTGTAGCAAAGACTGTTCCTCATCCCCTCACCAAATGCACATTTAAAGGTGCACGCAACCCACCCCAACCCTGACTACCAGCTTGTGTCATGGGAAGTGGCCTCATTTTTTTTCTCATTCCACTCCCAGAAATCCTAAACCCGGGAAGTGAACCAAACCATCAGCCCGAAACCTAGGAAGGCAAGTCCCTGGGCCTACCTTTCTTCGGGCCTGCAGTGTCTGCGGTAGGTCTGATGCGTGCAGGGCTCTGGGCAAGTTCCTCGAAGTTCTTTGGTCCAGACCCAGTCAGCTTCCCCCACTCCACACCTCACTCAGTTTAAATCTGCATTCCTCTTCTAGTAGATGTTTGGAACCTGAAAGGATGTGTTGAGAATTTCTGAGATCCACAACTAGTTCCTGTTTTGTATCGGAAGCATTAACTGATTTTGTGTTCCCAATATGGGTGTGGAAGTCTATTTTGAAATGTGTTGAAAAAGCAGTGGCTGCCTGATACAGTCTTTCCTATGAAAGTAATAGTGCTAATTACTGTGGGTATCAGTGGTGGAGGATTTTCTATGTGCCAGACTCTGCTCAAAGATTGTCATATACACAAGCTAAGTAAATGGTAATTTATAAATGCCCCCTTTCACAATTTCACACATTTCCATAGTATTCTTGTCTTCCCAGAGAACTACTATTACTATTGTATTAGGTTGGTGAAAAGTAATTGTGCCTCAATATACACAACTTAAATATCTTATTTTCATGATATTTCACCTTTGGAGGTCCAACATGAATAGCCATAAAATGGGAACAAGTTTGTTGTACAGCAATAATTAATACAACATCTTTCTAAGTTAAAGAAGCCGCTGGTATCATAGAACAAGCTGGTCTTTGACTAAGACAAACCCAATGGCAATCATTTATTGCATGACCTTGTTAATCCCCTGAACCTGATTCATTTGTAAAATAAAATAATGCCTACTTTACATGGAGGAGGAAAACAAAGTGGCATGCAGTTTTCATTGATTCAGCATTTTCTTAGAGAAAAGCTACCATAAGCCATGTGCTTCAGATAAAATGGTGAAAAATCATCTTCGCTCAAGGATTTTGTAGACTACTTGACAATACAGACAAGTAAATAAGTCACCCATTACAATCAGTTACCTGCAAGGTAAAGTGGCAATGCTAATGAGTAAATAAATCATTACAACCGATTATAATCAGTGATCTGCAAGGTAAAATAGGGTATCCTAAGAGAGCTCATAGGAGGATCAAAGAACTCAACGTTGGGTAGGCAGAGGAGACTTCCTAGATAAGGAGACATCTAATTGGAGACCTGATGAATAAGCAAAAGACACACAAATGGAAGAAGGACGGAGCTAGATAATGTTGTTATTCCCATTTTCCCGAAGATGGAACTGAAACTCAGAGATATTCCTATAGCTGGTATAGATGAGACTGACATCCAGTTTTGCCTAATCCCAAAAACTTTGTTGTCTATAATCTGAAATTATTTTAATTCTCAGAATTAAAATGGGTTATATTTCAGAAATAGTGTCCTGGTTTTCATGTAAAGCAACAATAGGAATACATAATACTGAAATCAGGGAATTAGGGTCAAGAAAGAAGCAGTTCTCTAGGGAAGGGATGATGGTTACCTGAACTACCTGTGATGCTAGTGAAGTTGGAGAGAATGAATGGATTTGAAAGATGTTTAGGAGTGAGAAATGGCAGTACTTGTTGATATAATGGATATGTAAATCAGGAGAAACAGGAAAGGATGACACTGAGATTCTGGGTTAGGAAACTGAATGAGTGATGGAGCCATTCACTAAGGCAATAGACATGGATCAAATGACAGAACTGGAGGAACAAAGAATAAGACTTTGAGCATATTTAATTTGAATTGTGTGGGTCCTTCAAATGAGGTTGACGAAAGTTGGATAACTCGCAGGAGCTGGGGAATGAGAACATGGTTGTAGAGGTAAAGCCAATAGCTCTTCACCCAGAGGAATGAGCTCACCCAGGCTTGTGGGCGGAGGCAGAAAAGATCAAACCCTTTTTGCTAGAGTATAGAACAGTATTATCAGAAATAAGAGTTCCCAGAGGATGACAAAAAAGAGATTAAAGAAGATAACAGGCAAACTAGGAAAATGTGGCACTACGGAAGACAAAGGTACAGAGTTTCATGACTTTATAAGAGAGGTTGAAATTCTAGACTAAGAACAGATGTCAATCTTTCCTCCTCTTCCATATGGTGTGAAGTGAGATCTTATTAGTGTTATCATTAGCAGACAAGTGATTTGAGGACTTATGGTGATATAAAGAACAATAGGCTGGGCGCGGTGGCTCACACCTGTAATCCCAGCACTTTGGGAGGCTGAGGCAGGTGGATCACGAGGTCAGGAGATCGAGATCATCCTGGCTAACACGGTGAAACACTATCTCTACTAAAAATACAAAAAAATTAGCCGGGTGTGGTGGCGGGCGCCTGTAGTCCCAGCTACTCGGGAGGCTGAGGCAGGAGAATGGCGTGAACCCTCGAGGCGGAGCTTGCAGTGAGCTGAGATCATGCCACTGCACTCCAGCCCCGGCAACACAGCGAGACTCCGTCTCAGAAACAAACAAACAAAAAAATAGAACAATAAAAATGAAATTTGACAGAAAAACAGAAATAGAATCACCCTACCTCTAAATAAGCATAAGACAAAACTAACTACTATACAAATAAAAGCAAATAAAAAAGAGCTCAAGTTCAGTGTCAAAACTATAAGCAGCAGAGAAGTAGGTCAGAGCCCAGAGCAGTTGTTAATTAATTTTTAAAATCATATTGGAAAAGCTGGGTCAGTTGATCTGCTTTCCCTCACACAGGCATCACATAACAAGGTAGTTTATCCCCAAAGCAAAACATGAGAACTGTTTTATGAGCAAAAACCAAACAAAAAAAACTGTTTCATGGTTCTGGTCTACACAAGTATATAGAATGTGAGTGCCAGCTCTGAGTAAAAAACAGGAAAGAGATGAGAATTAAGGTCTAAGCTTCCATTCACAGGGTATAAAAGAAAAGAAAAAAGCAGAGAACCTTATGGAATTGATTCCCTAATGAAAGTCTTGAGCTCATACTTTAGAGCTGGGATTCTGATGATGAAGACACACAGGTCACCTTAGTCTGGAGGTTTCTCTCAACTATGTCACAACCAATCTATATGTATAACCTGTCTTTATGCCCCCTCTTCTCTCGCAGTCACCAGACGTAGGCTGTGGTAAGCAGGACCTACATTCCCTGGCATGATAAGAGAAATTGCCAAATGAAAGTGTAAATGAACACTGAATATTTAAGAAAACCAATACTGTAAAATAGAGAAACCAAATACAACAAACAAATGAACAAAAAATGATTTCTATTTTTTTGATTGAAGGTTCTATATACCCCTTTATTGCATTATTTCTCTCTCCAATTAATTTTAGTAGTTATAAAGTCTTTTTTTTTTAAATTGTACTTCAAGTTCTAGGGTACATGTGCACAATGTGCAGGTTTGTTACATATGTATACATGTGCCATGTTGGTGTGCTGCACCCATTAACTTGTCATTTACATTAGGTATTCCTCCTAATGCTATCCCTTCCCCCCTCCCCCCACAATAGGACCCGGTGTGTGATGTTCCCCTTCCTGTGTTCAAGTGATCTCATTGTTCAATTCCCACCTATGAGTGAGAACATGCGGTATTTTGTTTTCTGTTCTTGCGATAGTTTGCTGAGAATGATGGTTTCCAGCTGCATCCATGTCCCTACAAAGGACATTAACTCATCCTTTTTTATGGCTGCATAGTATTCCATGGTGTATATGTGCCACATTTTCTTAATCCAGTCTGTCACTGATGGACATTTGGGTTGATTCCAAGTCTTTGCTATTGTGAATAGTGCTGCAATAAGCATACGTGTGCATGTGTCTTTATAGCAGCATGACTTATAATCCTTTGGGTATATCCCCAGTATTGGGATGGCTGGGTCAAATGGTATTTCTAGTTCTAGATCCTTGAGGAATCGCCACACTGTTTTCCACAATGGTTGAACTAGTTTACAGTCCCACCAACAGTGTAAAGTTATAAAGTCTTTTATTGTGTGTTCTTGTAATCCTAAAAATTAAAGCATGTGCATTTGATGTATCAAATTCTAACAACATTTAGAACATTTATTTCCTCCAGGAAAGTCAATAGTGTGATGGTAGATTTAATCCCAAATATATACATAAATATGTCATATGTAATAAAATGCAAACATTTCAGACAAAATTTTAAAAGGTCAAAACTGAACTAATTACCATTTAAAAGAAGCAAATGTTAATGCATACAAAAAGTGTAAAGTACAAGGATGAGAAATGATATATCGAGCAAACCCTAACCCAAAAAAACTGATCAAAGAAAATTGACCTCGGAGCAAAATATGTTACTGGTGAGCAAAGGGACTAATTTTTAATTATAAAAATAGTACAATCTTCAGAAAGATGTAATCAGTTTAAGTGTGTATGTATTTAATAACAGAACCTCTAAATACACATAGCAAAAATTGACAACCCACAGAATATTAGATAATATTTTAATACACATAATTAAGAAAGGATCTATATATCCAGAATATATAAAAAACCAGGGAACATTCAGAAGCCATAAGCAATAGTCCTGATAAAAATAGGATGATGGCTTGGCTTGAGGAGGTGGGAGAAATACAGAGTTAAAAAATGGTTGTGTAGGATTAGAATATGATTGATGGAGCCTAGAGGGTACGTAACAGGGTACAAACTACCAGACATTTAACACAGACAACTGAGCTAATTGTTGGGCCTTCTATCAAGAAAGGACACTTGCAGTCCCATAGCCCTCTTAGGGTTCCTGTGTCCTTTCGCTCTTGCCTCTCTTGATTAGGGACTGTTGTAGGGTTCTGAAATAATCTCCACATAATATTCCTCGTGCCACCTGCTTACACAGCATTTCCACTTCTGCCTGGACTTGGCCAGTAGCCATAGCCTACTGTTGTCCCAGAAAGTACTCAGACAAGCAGGACAGGCAATGCACCCACCACCCAGACTAGTAGCCGGGCAGGCAATGCTTGCTACAGCTTCCAGAGCAGTAGTCCCTCTTACATGTGAACTCATCCAGAAATTGCAGGCTTTAGGTGTGCCAGAAAACACCTGGCCTGTGGAGTGGACAACCTCACCCACCCACACCACTGGCAGCCATGCGGGCAACGCTTACTAGAGCCCTGGCCCAGCAGCTCCACTCTGTATGGGGTCAGCCAGAGGGCACAGCCTCCTGTGATCACAGAAAACACCCTGACAGCAGGGCAGGTAATGCAACCCAACCCTGCCACTGTTAGCCTGCTGGGCAATGTCTGCTAGAGTTCTGGCCTAGTGGGCCTACTTCTCTG